CTGCTGCGGTTTGTTGTAAGAGGGACGGTGATTTATACTGCACAATGACAGTGGATGCTGGAAACTTGACAGGATGGGAAAAAAAACTTCCAACATACAATATTTTTCGTCACTCATCTCACTGTCCGACACCCCCCGGTAACTAGAGCCCATTTAATAATAAGAGATAAGATTAAACTATTATTTAGAAGCCTGGTCAGAAAATACTGGAAATGAAGAGAAGCTGTATGAGGACTGTGACTCAGGAGAGTAATATAACTAATAATGACTCATGGATCTTGAACAATTCCCCAAATGCTTTCTTGGTAGATGTTCAGAGGCTTTTTTCATCACTCTTAGCTAATAGACCTCTTTAGAACGGCTACATTATTGATAATCAATGATCATCAGGAGCATCTGCCACCCCTCACAAACATATTTTGACTACGTAAAACAATTTATTTCCACTAGAAAAAGAAAATTCTCTGACATGGCTCTTGTATTAAAAAAAAAAAAAAACATGAACACACCACTGTTGACTCGAGAACCTGGATTCTTGGGGATTTTTGTTTTCCCTTCCTGATGCTTCCCTGATGATCCAGCTCTTCAAAATCATACAGCGCATATACCTCTTCCACTGAGCTAGTCTTTTTGACATACTTCTCCTGCATCTCCTTTTAGGTGCACACTTAGTTGTGGTGATAAAAACTGAAGATATGGCCTCTGTACATGGAGTACCAACAACTGAGAGATGCTATCAACAGATGCCTGGAAGATGCAGCAGAGCGGAGGGAACATTACGATATTATCTGTTGGCTACAATGTGAAAACGCAATTACAGATAGAAGTACTAGACGAGGCAAAGCGCACAAATAAAAAGCATTATATATTGCTACCATCAGCAAAAATAGAGTTACTGCTGGCTTATCCTGAAAAACCTTCACTGATTCCTGTTACTCAGACACTGAAACACACTGGCTTGGCACACCTGGTGTGATCAGTGCCAAGTCAGTGACCTCTCTAGATTCTGTATCCCTTCATAAAATAGATGGTCAGCATCCTATTTCTCAGCTGGATGGGACAGGAAAAAGAGGCCAGCCGGTGCCTCAAAGTCTGGGGCTCACTTGTACAGATAAAGACATGATGTGGCTCCCACTGAGAGATACAGTACAAGAGGAGATAGGAGCGAGTGGTGGATGAAGAGAGGTGAGAGGAAAGACAACTCAAAAAGACGGTGGCTGTGGGAAGGAAAGCCACATTGACCAATTTGGACAGTTATGAATGAAAAACAGGCTGACAGCACCTCTGGGCACACGAAATTAACTAGCAACTATTTTGATAAATCTAAAACAACAATTCTATACCCAACCTTACCATTACCATAAATTTCAACTTGTGAGGACTTGATTTGTTCCCCAAAACAAAGGTGAGTCCTCACACTATGACAGTGTAAACAGATTTGTACCCACAACATGATATAAATACACACACACACATAGACTCCTTAACACGGACAGTGAAATAACAGGCAATCGATCAAATAAAAAAAATATTGCTGTAAACAGTTGTATGCTAACACATACACACAGATGCACACAGTCATCATCGGCCTGACAGAAGGTGAAGACAGCGGCACAAGTTGGCAGTGCGATCGCCAACAAATATGTGGAGTGATATGTATGAGTAATGGCGTGCACCCACGAAACAAACACTCCAGTGATGCATGTCCAAACCTATAACAGGAGAAAGCAAAGACACTGGAAACTCCCAGAAGTAGACAGTTCATTAAGACTAAAAACATCAACACACAGGGATCACGTCTGACAGTCATTTGAGTGGATGCTAACAATTCCACCTGCTTAGCTCAGACATCTATCTCAAATGTTTATTCTTAATAGTACTTTGCTTCCTAATGTGAATTTCATATCATTCTAGCTTAAGATCATTTAATTAGTTCATCACACTGAGTGTAAATGTTGGCTATGGCTGCTAATTGTGTCTTCTCTGCCAGGCACTTTGGCATGACACCAGCCAGGTCTTACAGCCTGTGGTCCAAACATTAACGCTGTGTCTTGCCCACTGAACAGCTGGTCCTAGTTAAACATGGTCAAAATGTTCTCTGTAACCACAGTTCATCATAGTCAGGGAATCTGGGGAACAGACTGATGTATTAAAGCAGCAGTTGGCACACACACATACACACATCCATAAAATGATCCTGATGTAGAGTTTCACTATTAACACCTCTGTTTTTGTTTCCAGTCTTAGTGCTGCCCACAAACTTCCTGGCTCAGCTTCAAAGCGAAAAAGGGATGTATAGCGGGAACCCAACTATTAGCTGCAAGAGTCCACACTCACCACTATTACACATTTTAGATACATTAATTTATATATAAACTATGATAAAGACATTTTTAACACATTTTTCCCATTCTAAAATTGCTTTTGGCTTTCACTTTCCACACAATAAAGCAATCACCACTGTGTGTGATTTGATATCAGACAAAAAACGAAATCTGGCAAAAGCAAACAAATGGAAGCAGTGAACCGTAAATGATAAAGTAAATTAGAAACTGGCATTGACTACTTATGTTTTATTCTAATAGCAATGAAAAGACTGGACTACAAAAGGCTAATTAGACGAAGACGGTAGGTTGTGAAGGACTTGATGCTCTGTTCGAGTCCTTTTAACAAGCATGGAAAAGACAAATCAGGAGAACAGGCTTAGAGTCTGGCTGGCTCTCCTACACGATGATTAGAGGGACTTTGTTTCCTTCACTTTGTCCTCTTTTTTATGCTTGTTACAAAGGTGCTGTGACCTTTCATATGAATTCTACTTCTCCCTGCAACTGTGTAAGAATGAATGACAGTAAAGTTCAACTGATCAGCTGCAGTATTTCACACATATGGCATAGACTGTCACATTTGCAGCTACTGGACTCACAACTGGCTCATGTCCAGCTTCAATAAGGCATGCAAATAAAAAACAGCAGCAGACATGCTACACTGCACTGGAACAACACAAACATTCATGCTTCACAATAAGAAACTTGAATGTTCAAATAAACTACAACAACTTGACTCTGGCATCTCTAAAAACAAAAAGGTGCAAGCACAATAGCATCCCAATATGTGGGTGTAGACCAGATGTTCTGTCAACCCTTGAAGTAGCTGTACCACAGCTTTTTAAGGGAAAATGTACAAAGGAAGTGAAGATTTTAAATGCACTGATTTGTAGTGAGATGTGCAACACTGTAAACAGTCACAGTCAATTCTCAAACACCTCTGTGGTTTGAACTGTGGTGGTTCAATATTAAAATAATCACAGCAGAGCCCCAACAACAAAACTTCCTACTATCAAACTGATTGACTGGTCTTTTAATCCACTTGTCCTTGACATCAGTTCTGTGATGTTTCCTGATACTGTTCTGGGTCTGTTAACACGCCAGCAAAGCAACTTATATTTAATTAAATGCAGATCTTTTTCGAGGCTAAAACAAGCTTGTCGTGTATCTAGCCATAAATAAATATATACATAAAGTTTAATGCTACTACCTTAAATTCATAAACACCGAGACGTTTGACAGGAAGTCGACATGGGTCGAGCTACTCCACCTAGCGACTGGATACCGCCAGTACAACAGTGAAACGCAGAAAACAAGGACAGTGAAAATGCTATTCATGTAGGATTTTTAACAAATTCTCTTACAGGAAAAATCGTGATAGTTCCGGACATGCTTCTTTATACAGCAGAGAAGCGTGTAACATAAAGCTGACTGGATTTTCTTCTGGAGAAATGTTCATTTTCAGAGCGAATCCTGGTGCAACGTCTGGAAAAGTAGAACTCCGCTGCATATCCGTATTAAAACTTCTTTTATATTTAAGTGGCCAAAAGGTGGAAACAGAAGCGAACGAGTTGAGCTCTAAATGGCAAATAAATGTGGGAAATGTGTTGATTTTAATCTGGATAAAGCATAAGTTTAACTTTATCGTCGAGTCTCTGCCGCTACACGACAAAAAAAAAATCCACGTTGGGTCGCGATATTGTGACGTTACATGCGGCGCATTGTGGGAAAGCGAGTAACTTCGAAGCACGCTTCGTGCACGGTAACCAATGGAAGGCTATTTATCTCTTAGTTTACTTAGCCTTTGGAATATAGACTAAAAGCACGAGGGAAAAGATAAATGCTTATTCCTTAAGAAAGATTAATCTAATTTATAATGAACTTGTTTGTAACCTGTCAGGATAGACTAATAACCCCAGTTTGGAGGCAGTGCGTCTATGACCAATCATCAGTCATGTCACCTATAGCATCAATTTTCATTGATAACAAAAAATGACACGTTAGCCCACTGGAGATTCTACATGTAGGCCTGTTTAGCTGCTCATGTGCATATGTAGGCTAATTGTGCGTGTGTAGATGTGAACATCATGCAGGTCTATAGCGTCCATGTTTGTTTGTGTGATTATTTTTGTGAGTATTATGTGCACGCTTGCACATTGTGTGTATAGGTGCGAATTTAGGTCTATACTTTATTTTTCTTTTTTCTTTTTTTGCATCTGTATTGTGAAGCACTTTGTAACTTGTTTTTCTTATTATTATTATTATTATTGTTATTATTTAACAATAACAGCTCTGTCGAAGAGATGGCCTATTGATGTCATCATTCCTTAGATCTTATTGGACAGTAAGAATTGCCCATGTTAGACGACTGTGGGATATATTGACATCATTATAGCTCTATCCTGCGCATATCAGAACACACCAGGTTTCTTGCTCCAAAAGCACATAGCCTATATTAACAAAGCGTACGCCATCTGACAAAAAATCGAGGTGTCGCAGACTATAAAACTCCTACTGGATGCATTGAAATCTACAAAGGAATTCTGCTAGGAGGAAGAGAGCTATAATGTGAAATTGGATTTTTTTAAGCAGCGACAGGGAGGAAGAGCATAGATTGCGCACCGATGGGCACCCTCTGGTGTGCGGATAAGTAGCAACCCGGTCAGACACACGCCCGGTGGAACAAAGACATCAGATGAGAAGAAAGAAGTTACAGAGAGGTTTTGCTCGACACAATATGGAATTTCATTCAGCAACAGCGACAGCAGAGCTCCTGCTCTGCTCATATCAGAGCGTCCAAAGACTGGTCGGCAGACCGGCGCGTTTTACGCGCATCTTTTCTCGGTAACTACCCTATCCAGCCTGCCAATCGGTAGGTTTTCACGCCTTCATTTATAAAAAATACTGCGATTTTAGTCAAAAGGAGACAATTTTGTAATTTTGCAGCTTATTACAGTTCATCGTGGTCCCAAGTGAACACGAGTTAAAAACAGACATAGCCTCAGACGCCTTCGTTTCAATTAATCATTCCTTCCAGTTCCTTTTAGAACTTTTGCATATTAAAGTACAATAGGTTTAGGCTATAGCCTACCCCATTATTTGTATCTATTATGAATTACTTGGAATAAATGTTTTTATATAGGCTTAGGCTAACAATGTTCTGCTGCGAGGTCTGATTTTTTCTGAAATGTTGTTCTTTACTTGTTCTTGCGTTCACTCTGTATGTGTGTGTGTGTGTGTGTGCGTGGGTGGGGAGGACCACACAGTGAAAAGATATTAAATCACCGGGCCAGAAACTGAAGGAGTAAGCTAAAGTGCGAGGGATTGCTCTTCACTTTATCAGGCGCTGTCACTGCAGTAGACAAGCGGCGCGGCTCTGACTTAAGTGTAGTCCGCGGATAAACGGATTTCTGCTCACTACCAGGACTAAATTGACCCACGATTCCGGGAGAGAGTGAGACAGAGAGGCATCCAGGCAGAGAGGTTCATACGGTACTCATCCCGTCTTTACTGTGGTGCAGCTTTAATGAAAAAGACCAGGAATAAGGGGAAAAGGTAGGCTGAACGTTTTCCGTTTCTCTGATTCTGGGGTCTCAAACAATAAATTGGCAGAAATCTTTGCAGTGATAAGACTTGTGGAATACTTTCCCACTCACCTGAACAGTTATAAATGAACGTGTTTTTTCTCCACAGGAAACCTGAAGCCTATGGGCATCAGTCAAGTAACTACCAGGCAGTATTATACTGTTAGTAAATCTTTAAAAGCTGCCTGGAAGTGTGAGGAAATGTATTTCCACACAGTAACGTTAGAAATTCAGTGGCTGGCTTAGCAGCTTTTAAGTTCACAGTGTGCACATGTTTTAGAATCAGCTTTACCACTGGGAATTTAAACTAAAAGTGACTGAGTGAAGTGGTCTGCTGACTCATAGGTGATGGAACCTGCAGCCCTGATGTTATTAATGCACTACTCAGTGAACCCAGTAGGACCACACCTGTCTCTACTGTGCAGTGGTGAGACAGGTCTGGTGCCAACAGGACTCTGTTTTCACCTATGGTGGATCTTACAAGGTATCAAGGTGGCAGAGATGCCCCAACGTGTCTTTTCAACATCTGCAGGGAAAAGCCAATACCAGCAGTGGCAGTCGGCTACCATTTCAGAAACGCAACACTAACTCCAATAGTGCTGAAAAAGCTCAGGAATAAAGGGCACAAAGTGTTGGAATGCTGTGTGTGTGTGTGTATTTAAGTGTGTGCACATGTGCGATTATAGTCAGTTGCATCTGCTGTACATCTTTGAGATGTTTTCTTGCAGTCGTGCAGCTCTAACCCAAGGCTCCACTTGAGTTTTCTCTTCTGCTGATGTGGATTGCAGATATACATTTGTCTGCAGCTGTTATCTGAGGCCATTCTCCTGCAGAACTCCCTGACTTCACGCCTCTCTGGCTGGAACAAGTCTATATTCTGTAATGAGTGTGTAATTATCCACTTTAATAGTTAATAGTGTAGTCTGTTTTAGTCCTACAGTATTGCCAATGCTGAGCTTATTTACCACTTTTTAGCAGCTTCTTAGTTATGAAAGCATTTGTCTTTTTTAGAGTAAGTAAGTAAGTACCCTGGCTTGTGTGCACGAATGGTCTTATGCACTAGCACAGAGTAAGAGATGGCCAAGGTTACAGCAGCCTTGTTCAAAAAGAATTTCTTTTCATGTACAGGTTAGAAGTTGTTTTTATTCAGATGTACGTTGCTTCAAGGACAACAGCTCTCACACTGTCCTTCATTTTAAATCAGTAGTCTAATGGCTTTAAAATGCTGTCTGCAAAGCCAATCTGTGAGATGAATAGAATTTTATATTAAACATTTGAAGTGATTACTCTGAGTGATTCAGCTGTTACTGGAAGCTGCACATGTAGGGGCCAAGAAACTTTCCCCCGCCCCCCCTCCCCACCCTTTTCCACAAAACCCTCCCCCCCCCCCCCCTGCACTATTTTCAACAAAGCCTTCCCTCATGTACTGTACCTCTTGATGGAGAAAACTCAAAAGGAGGTGATCTGGTTATTTGACCTTGTTACATATTCCTCCTTTATCACTGGTTTTCAGCCACTGCCTTAGAGCAAAATTCTTTATAGATCTCAGTATCAAAGTCCATTTTTAGGCAATGAGAGCATGTGTGTTTTTGTGTGTCTGCAAATAGCAGAGTGTTTGCTTTCATTTGTATGTGGATATACAGTTTGCACTGACTTGTGAGTGCACAGCAGAGCTGTAAAGGCTGTTTTACTACACCATGCATAATCAGGTTGAGGAGAACAAAGATGTTAGTTCTACTAACAGGGTTTGTTTAGATCAGAGCGATCTCGGCATCCAGAACTGAAGAGAACAGTGCCTCATTCAGTAGACACCAAGGGAAGGGACCCAGTGGAGGCAGCAGCTCAGGTCTCTGTAAAAGGTTGCGTATCCCTGGACAGAATAACAAGAAGAGGAATAATGATGACTAGTAAAGCCCTCTCCCATTATATGCTTTTCATAATAAAATGTTAGCAGGTTAGCGTTCAAAGTCATGCCCTGCAAAGCCCTTGAAAGGCTTCAAAGGTGTAAGCACCTTTCATGGTAAAGTGGCTGTTATAAAGCCTTTTTGCATCTTAGTTTGGAATAGATCTAATAAGAATGTTCCCCTACTGTGCTTGCAGATACCATTGAGGTATATCATTGGTGTCTGGCCTATGATCTGCTTCATAGCTCTCATTTAAGTTCATTTTTTAAAGTACTCCCTGTGGCCGTGCATACAAAGTAAATGAATGGGCACACTGTCTCACACCCAAAGTGACACAATTTTTCTCTCTCCCTCTTAAGTCAAATCCCAGGCAGCTAACTGGTTGTTGCAAAGCTTCAACAACCACAATCATACAGCATAACTGAATGCATGCCCATGCACATGAAATTGTATACTGTCATTACTGTTACATTATGGATGGATTTGCTGTCTTCTGCCGGATGTGATGATGAAAAGACTGAGTAATTGCCATGAGTAATTTGACATTTGTCTTTTTTCACTCAGGCCTTGCCTCTGTATACTCTCTCATTATAAACAAGTCTATACAGCAGTGTTATTAATAAACATTAGCTACAGATAAGGCAGGAGCAAGATAGATGCACAGGCATTATGTAAATCTGGGAGTCTTGTATGCCGCTTTTCTTTTGTTTCTTCAAACTATGTCCTCGTGAATGTAGGAATCATATTATGTGCACTTTGTCCACAACAACCCCTCTCCCCGTGAGTTGCCAGCAGACTGAACTTCTGCCTCCATATCACACACTGATCAGAGGAGCCACACATTGTTACCAATGGCACAATACACCATTGTCGAGGCATCTATTGTGTGACTCTTTGAATAGGGGATGATCCTTTCAAATTATAAGGCTTTGGGAAATGGATGCACGGCACATAGCCTACATTCTGTGTGATCGCTGTCCTGATTATGGAAAATAAGTGGGTCTTTTTAATCAACATCCATACTTCAATTACTAGTCCCATTAATTAAACACAGTGACTGCAGCATTCTTGTATGGCAAAGTCATTTCAGTTCTGTTAAAGTCCACTGCTGCTTTGGTAATGAAAAGCAGGTCTCATAAACGATTAAATGTAGAGCGTGGATGGTCTCTCTCTCATCACAGCCAAGTGGCCTAGAGCAGTATCCAATAATACGTCATCTATTAGTAGTCACTGCTTTTGTCAGATGTCTTATG